GAGACCTTATTAATAAATAAGTTATAAGTACTTTAGTAAATATTGAAGGATTTTGAATGGTTAATGTATTTTCTCATACTGCACCTCTTTATCAAGTATAAATGGTATATACAAGCTCTATTTATTGTATTTGTAAAATAAAATATATTTCTGTTGTTGGAACATTTAATGAATTAATCCTAATTGTCCATTTGATTATCAAATCTCCATTCACTAAATCTATTTTATTATGACGTCGTTGGATGTGTTGGATTACAGGCATAGCATGGAAAAATGTATCAAATATTGTTCCAAACATTGATAAGGTCTCATAACCCAAATCACATAGTGTTTTGGTCATAAAATGTTAGAAATAATTTGTGCGGACGACACTGCCCTTAAAGTAATGGTCACTATATTATTTGGAAGCGGTCGAGAAGCAATTAAGTTGGAGCAATGATTATTTCATATCATCAAATGACAAAAAACGATTAACCAATCACAATTAATTTTCTCAACTTTATATTATTAAATAGTGTTTAAGTTAATGGGGTCCTTAGAGTTGAATTACTATTTAAGGAATTAAAGCAATGACTACTTCATTTCAGTAAATTAAAAAAAAAAACCTTAACTAGTCACAACTAGTTTCCAAAAATATTTTTGTCACTTGTTAATTTCCATTTGAATTTATATATATATATATATATATTCGTCAACATTGGTTAAATTTTTTATTTTTATCATTTGTTGAAATGAAGTAATCATTGCTTTAATTTAATTAGGTCACATTTGCTTACTAGAAATGAATAGAATGGAATGAAATAGATTAAAAAAAGATAAAAATAAGATGATCAGGGGAGATATGGGAGCACATTCACAAAGGAAGGAGTAATTTAGTTTATAGAATTGAAAATTATGATTCATGAGATTTTTAGAGGATGTAATAATTCTCACATTTGTAATATATATTAGTGAATTTTATCATACTTACCATAAGGAAAAAAGTGATTTAATTTTTTTTATCTTAATTTTTTCAATTCAATTAATTTCATTTCTTTCTAGTAACTAAACAAGATCTAGTCATTTGGCTACATTTACTCTTTAACATGAAGTGATAAAATAAATTTGAGAAAATTAATTGTCGTTAGTGAAGTTTTTTTTTTTTTTAAGTTCTTTGTCAAGAGCCTCAATCGAAGTAGTCATTATGGCATTTTCCAAAAATAAAATGTCAAATCCAGAGACTTCACAATAATTAGTTCAATTCACATTCTTTTCTTTCCTTTGTCTATTTTGTATTGATTTTCACTATCACATAAAATGAGATACTTGATATTGGCCAAAAAGAAGAGGAGATATTAGACTGTTACTTTTAGTTGCCTTAGTTTAGCCGTTAAGTAAAGTGGTGCCATATATTATGTGCCACTTTACTTGATAGTTAATAACCATTAAATAATGGGGCCTTATTTGAAGGTTGTTTGATAACAATTGTTAAGTATTTCTTTCCAAGTTTGATCTTTGAGCAAATATTTGATGGTTGTTTGGTAATAACCATCAAGTTATTACCAAATGCTTGATAGTTGTTACCAAGTATTCTCTCCGTTTTTATATATAAAGTGTTTGCAATCGAATCTTGCATATCAATAACAGTTTGTTATTTAGCTGAATTCACATAAAAATACAATGATTCATTCCAGTTTTACCTCTAATAACATCATAATTAATATCATGATGGTGATAGAAAAAATATATAATTGATGATTTATTCTATTTTTCAAGACAAGGGTAAAATTGTTTAATTATTCAAAAATATAATTGCCACCCCTTATATTTAGGGACAAAATAAACTTTTAAAAAACACCATATATATATATATATAGGATGGAGGGGGTAACCATCAAGTAGACATGGTAAAAAACTTATGTTTTTAAATGAAGATTTATTCTCTATATCATAACACTTGTTCTCCTTTACCACTAAATTAATTTTCTAAAGTTATTAATGAGCAAAATTTGACTGTTGTTAATATAAAAATAAGACTTATTTTTGTTCAAATGAAAACTTATTCATTAGAGCTCTAGCGACAGGCGATGGTTTAACAACAAGCATTGAAGCTTTGGTGACTGTCGGTGGCTCTTCAACTGTCAGTGATTGTGGTGGAATTTTTAATGTACACACATATACATATGAGGGCTAATCACAACAAATTTTAATTATGTTTAAATTCCTTCATCCTGTATAGTAATTTTAGAATTGTTTGGTCTTGCAAAGCAACAAATATTCTGTAATGATCCTTGGTTGTAATTTTTCCAAGAAGAAAAGGTTGGGGACAAGGAATATAGGAAAGGCTAAAATTGATTATTGAGGGATAGTTGAAGGGTGGAGGTTGTTTGCGTGCGTCCATTTATGGTGATATCGATGTAACGTTGCTTTGCCGTACAGAGGCCCACGTGTCCATCACCGTAACAGCTCTGATCTTCTGATTTTTGTGTGCCCTCGTACTCCTCCAGTTTCATCGCTATTCTCGCCGTACACAACCCTAGGCTTGGCTCGTCCTTTAAAATAACAAAATCCCAAGGATTACCCAATCGGACATGTTTGTTCCCCTTTTCAGAATGTTTTTTTTTTAACCAATAAAAATTTAAAATGTATTTTTATTTACAAAGTATTTTTAAAGCAGTAGAGTGATGGGGTTTTTTAGATTCTGTTTTTTTATATTTTAAAAAATTATATAAGAATAAAATTTGGAAATAAAATATTTAGATATATGTTTAAATTATTATTTTGAAAGACATATCTAAAGTGGTGAAATAAAGGTAAAAGAATTATTTAATTTATTAACATAATTAGCATTGATAAAAACATGATATTTCTATCTTCTTTTTATTTTTAAAGAACAAAAAAACACATAAAAAAGATGTTCTATCTCTTTTTAATTTTTCATAAAAACTTTTAACTTTTTATTTTCCAAAATAGATTGTAGAAAATACATTTTCAAACATTTTTGTTTTTTAAAATAAAAAAAGTTCTAAAAACAAGTAATTGAATATGATCTCAGGGCTTGCTTTTATTTTTTTTTAAATTATTTTTTAATACAATTTTTAAAATTGTTGTTTGAAAAAAATTATGTTTGGTTATGTTAATTTAAAAAATTGGACATAGGTTGATAATGGTAGTTGTAAGAAATTAATGATAATGATTTATGATAAATATTGGTTAAGCTAACCATTTTTTAATAATCAAATGAAATGTGTTTTAAAAACAAGAAAAATAAAACTTTTGGTTTTGATTACTATCGACAAATTCACTATCTTTTTCAATAATCAAATGAAGAATAAAGATGTTCCTATTTTTGTTTTTAGAAACAAAGAATAAGAATAATATTAAAAATATTTAAATTTAAAACATTTATTCAAACAATTTTTTAATCTTTTTCTTTTTAAAAACAAAAAACAATTTTTGTCAAACAAACCCTTGCATTTATCAGTCTAACATGTGACACTCAGGCAACGCATGTTTTCTTCAATAATTTCATCTGCAAGCACATCAACTACGTGTATTGGATGGTCATTGGTCAAGTGCAGCTTTCGTCTGCAACCCTATGAAGTTATTATTAGTTTTATTCGTGATTGAATGGAGACACATGTGGTTTATCAGGCACATTTTAAAAGTAAATTTTATTTAAAATATAATATATTTGTAATTATATTAAACTATTTTTTAAATTTTTTTATTAACATAAAAATATTTAATATAATTGTATCATGATTTAAAATTAAGAATAAAAATAAAAATTCATATTATTTTTTGATGATGTAAGAATTAATTTTTTTTAAAGATGTATAACATGATTAAAAATGTTTTATAATAAAGATCGAAATGAGTATATAACTAAGGTTGTTTTAGCCCAATTTCTCATTCAAATTACTCCCTAGTCATTACTAAACACAACTAGCTAGTACTAGAAAAGAAAGATGATGAGGTTATTACAATATTGAAATGATATACTTTTTTTATTAAAAAATACAAGGTACTTTTTAAAAAATTGAATGTTAAAAAATGTAAAACATTTTTAATTTTTTTAATATAATAATTTTTATTTTTTTAAAAGTGCTCTTATTGAATAAATAATTTTATATTTATTTTAAGATCAAGCACCCTAATAAATAAAAAAAATAAAATTAATTTAAAGATAAATAATTACTTTATTAAAGAATGAAATTAAGTTAAAAACATCTTATATTTTGAAATGAAAAGAATATAACTTTTTCTTCTATTGCTCATAGTGTAGTAAGAAATAAGGAATGAAAGTGTGTAAAATTATAAATATGCTCCCATATAACAAATCAAAAAACTAATATCATATTATTTTCTCTCCTATGAAGAATAATTTTAAAAAATATATTTTAAATATTACTTAAAAACTTGCACCATAACTTATAAATAAAACTAAATAAATTTTTAAAAATATACTTTATGAGACCTGAGAGAGTACCTTGCATTGTCATCGCATCATTGTGGGTCCAATATGTTTGTCTAGGACAATTAAGGAGAGAATACGGATGTTCAAGTTTTAAGTTATTTAGATAATTTTGAGAATATTTAATACTTTTACTTTTTTTTGATAAATAATACCTACTTTTACTTCGTATTATAGATTGACGATTTTTAGTTTTGCCCGGCATAAGATTTTAAAATTTATCATATTTTACATATCAAATTGTGTTGTGTCGGACACATGTGTCTGTGCTAACATACATTTGAGACTTTTTAAAATGATTTTGTATCTTCAATTATCCACCATTTTTTTTTTGTTGAATATGTAAGATTCAGTTTCCATTTGGAACAAAAACAAAAAACAAAAATATTCGCAAGAAGCAAGAGAGGGAAACAAAACTATTCAAAATACGACACCATCCTCGTAGGGGTATATATTATATATACACATATCATTTGCTCGCATTTATATAATAAAAAAACCTACTTACATAAAAATTAAGCAAACTTGCTATGAAATAATAATGGGGGAATTGTCCCGTGCACAACAACGGTTAATTAAATTTTTGATGTATTTTCCATGTTGCCTCTCATCTTTTTTTTTTTTCATTTAATGTATTAGTTGAACAAAGACAATCTGCAACAGATGAAAAACACTCTAGTTAACTTTTGACAAGATGCCAAACATAAACATGCTTTATATCACTACCTAACGATATTATTATGTTCTATCAACAACCAATAAACCATATATATACATAAGTTGCACAATATCCTTGTATCCTATCAATAACTAAGAAACCATAAGTATAGATCTACATAAAATGCATGATATCATTGTGTTCTATCAATAGAGCTAATTATGGTATGTGTGCACAGTTGCCTGATCACTACTATTTCTTGCATTCATTAGCAAGTCTCACATTAGTTTGATGCGTAGTGGATTAATAATTGGGATTTTGTCTTCAAGTGGATCTAATGTATAGGTGGAGAGAGATTATTTTAGTAAACCATTTTTTATCATCTTTTTCTCTCCAATTTCGTAATCATAATCATTCATCAAATTTACGGCTAAAATATATTCACTTAATGCAGTGATATCAATGATTATGATTGATTAGAAAAGTGGAGAGACAAGGATGATAAGGAAATGGAAACGTTCCGTGTTCGAGAGTAAGACCCACCAAATTCTCTCTACATGTACCTCTCTTACTTGAAGATGTCTATATCTTTTTTTTTTTTTGGGGGGGGGGGGGGGGGGGACCCAAAGAAACAGACACTAGATTATGATCAGACATACATAGATTTACTACGCTCCGACATACATACAAAAGACTTCATTTTTGAAATATCCACATTCCACAGGTCAAAAATAAATACGCTAAGGAAAGAAAACTGTGGACTATGGAGCTTATATAATACAAGCCCAAAAAAATGCTTTTTAGTTCAAACTGTTTACTGTCAATCGTAGATACTCCATCCGTTTTAAATTATAAACTATCATGTCTCCGTTTTTTTTTTTAATAAGCAAAACTATAAATTTCAAGAAGTATTTATCATACTTTTACCATATTACTCCTTATAAAGTCAATATTTATTTTGACGAGACAAATTTATTTTATTAATAATAAGACTAATTTAGTTTAATTTTTTAAATTTCAGACATAATTATCATACTTAACCAACTTTTTAAAACTCTGTAAGTTGGTTATTTTTCTCTTATATTTGAAAACAGGAAGAGTATATAAATATTTATATATGACTTGCATGGATATGAATTCTTAATTATTCTCTCTGTTAATTGTTGACCCTCAGGATGTGTTTTTAATAAAACAAGTAATCACGTAATCTCATGTCTGTCAATAATCAGCCATCTCAAGAGAATTGAATAAATTCTTGCATTTTCTTGACATGCTTGTTCATGAGAAATCTCAAAAATGAACAGTTAAGTTTGTTATACTAACCCCAATCTGAGAGAGGTGTCTGAACTATGATCCTCATGGAGAGGATCAGATGTGCTGCCGATAGTTGCTGACTCAGACGACTGACCCTGTGTTTGTCCAACTTTCGTCACCTAAACACAAATTTTCCATCTTCAGATTCTTGCCACCAATCTGAAACAATCAATGTTAATTAATTGGACCTGCTGGTTCAACTGGTGAACACCATACCTTGGTCCAATTCGAAAATTCTATCAAAACCGGACAAAACCAATCAAACAGGTCAAAAATTGGTGAAAACTGATTTTTCCTTTAACATGCATATATTATGAATTAATATGTATATAAAATGTAATGGAGGTTGCATTGTTCATAACTAAGGAGCTTTGAACAGTGAAGCATCAAACTAATATAAGGCAAAGATGTAATTGCACTTGAAGCATATTAACTATCATTCGTTAAGAACCATAAATTAAAGTGGATTAATATTACACAATAACTAGGACCAGAAAGGAGTTCATAGAACTTAAAGCATGTTAATTTAATGACGAATGGTTTGACTTCGAATCAATTATGGTCTAATCGATGAAACTTGGATTAGGGACTTAATCGTTTTAACACTGATTTACTGTGCAAATAATTCAAAACACGGATCACCTGTTTCAATCTCTGATTCTCCTCCATCAGCTGGATTCCCTGCACAGACAAGGAAGCATTCTCAGAGAAGCTAAGTACTAATTGTCCTATACATCTCTGTGAATGAGATGGCCTGGCAGACTAGTTCTTCACTGACTACAATTTACTGCAAATCATTTCTCTCTTTCTCCTCTCTATCTTGCTCACTCTCTTCATTAATATTTAAGGAGCGAATAATTGAAATGCATATGCACAAGGAAAATTAGTCATTTAATTCCTACAATTTTGGTTGATTTAGTTACTACTCAATCATTAAAGTTTAACAAAGTTCAATTTAGTCTCAAATGTTTCAGCCATTTAATAAATTGGTCCCTATACTTTCAAAAAATATCAACCTCTTCAAGGATTAAGTTGTAACTGAAGCATTAAGTGTAGGGATCACCAAATTAAATGGTTAAAACTTGAGAAACTGAGTTGCATTGAATTAAATTTCAAGAATTGAGTTGTAATTGATTCAAAATTACAAGGTAAATGATTAATTTTCCATATTTAAGTTGTTTAGTTCTCGAATACTAGAAATATCAATCCATAGAAGTTTTAGAACAAACAATATGATATTTATTCTTTATGAATAAAATATTATTTTTTTAGGATTAATTAACCAAGTAATTGAGACATATCTTTTAAAGGCATAAAACTATTACATTTTTCCTCAATTACATGCATATCAAATTCTCTATCTTAATCTTGTCCCTTATCATTGACCTTCAAGATTTATTTCCAATAATTTAGCACTGTTACTCAGTTAGGTTTAATCTTTCCTGCGCAGAGGCAGGCCATCATATATATGAAGACATTTCAGCCATGGATATAGAATTTTTTTGTACCTTTTCTGGCATGACATTAACTAAATATCGTTATTTCTCCTGTACATTATTTTCATTTTCTTTTCAAACATCAAGCAATAACAAAAATATACATGAGCCTTCAATAATTAGGTTTGGAATGTATTTCACCTTTCTCTTGAGCGCATTGATCTCTTTCATAATTATTTCTTCCTGTAAAACCACCAAGCACCGTGTGTTGTGAAGATTAGTAACATTAATTTCTATAAAGTAATTTTAAATGCAAAAAACTTTGAAATGCAAGAATTAATCCAGACAAGAAATTTCAATAATTCCAAATGGAAGGGCTCAAAAACAAAATGAGGGGGTTCAATCACTTATAATATCAAAGTAAAAAAATGCAAAAAGCTTCAAAGTTATTACTTAATGTTATTAATTCATATGTTATTTAATTTCAAACTCTTTCATAATTGACATGATGAGCTCTTGAGCTCTTGAGATCAACATGTCGTTTGAAGAACTTGTTTAAGGGCATATAACAATATTTTGATTTTTGAAAGTATAAAAATCTATTTACCATATCACTTCAAAATTTCTTTGGTGCTCTTTCCTTAGGATATATGCAAAGAGGCATGTACGGATCCCTTCATTATAATTATAAATGTGAAGGATACATTCCAATTGGACTTGACAATAGTCAAATCTAACCTAGTCAAATGATTCCAATTAGATGCATCCCTACGAGATCAGATCCGAATTTGTATTGTAGTAAGGGACAAAGTGCAAACCTTAGCTTTGACAACACGGCTCAAACCTTTTTCTAATTGTTCTTCAAGCTTCTGTAATTCATTCGTGCTCAATCCTTCAAGCTCTTCTCCCTTCAACTGCCTTTCAATTATTATAAGGTATAGCCATCCCCTCAGTAATAGATGACATTATAAATCTATCATATGGAAGGCACAAAATAAAAGCTTCACAATTATAATATTGTACATTTACAAAAATCTATATACCTCAGTTCCTGAACCTTATTGGCTTCTTCCATGCTGAGCATGCTGAAGGTTTCCTTTTCATACTATGCATAAAATTCCCAAGAGATTTCCATAAGTTCAGTACTATCGAATTTCAGGTTAAGCAAAGTGAATGATGTAATTTTCTGTAGAAACACAATCTTTTATTATTATTTTATTATACATTGGAATGGCATCTATTGGAGGGAAATGATAGAAAATCGTTTAAGATAATTTGCACATGCTCACAAAAGAACATGGGAGGCATTAGTGAGAAGAGTAGAGCGAACAACTTGAATCCAATAAAGAGGGGTAAATGAAGATCAAAGAGAACACTTATAGAAGTTATTGATCAAAGCCTCTTAGTTAATGATATCTATAAAAGCTTGATTGATGATAAAACACAAAGGCATCATACAATTCATATAACCAACCACACCTAATGGGATAAGATTTGTCATTGTTGTTGTTGAACTTGAAGCTTTTTTCTTTTTATAGGGTCAAACCTGCCACAGCCTATGAACAATCCTATCCATATATCAAATCAAGATTAAGTCCTTTGAAAGTCACATCTTAGGGATTTTTTTCTTATTTAAATAATTGAGCATTGCACTGAAAAAATAATAAATGATCAGAAGTGAATTTTCATTTCACTATAGCTAAGTTAGCAGCTTGTGCATCTTATCGAATTCCAAATACTTCACCATTATTGCTACTCCTTAATAAATTAAATTATCGTATTACTTGGAAAAGAGAAAATCTAGGTAATTAAACAAATAAACTTGAGTAGCTATAAGTTTTGTGAAATCCTAGAGAACAGAACTAACGTACTAGCCAAGCCAGGACACTTCGACAGAAACAATTTATATATCTATTTATATTATAAAAGCTCTTATATGGTGCGCCATGAAGGGTGTCTCATTTTTTAGACTAAATGTAATGCATGACACTCGCACTCGTTTACATTATTTAAAGCAGTAAATAGAACGAAAATATTGAGAAAAAATATAATTAAAAACAATTATGCATAATGATCTTACCAAAATGGATGAATGGTATAATCTTTCAATTTCTGAGTGCTGATCGTGCCTTTCGATAACCTGCTGCACACTATAAGAACCGAAAACACAGCGTGTTCATGAAATCTTACACCTACCAGTATACTGTTAGTATTTAAGGCTCTTCAGGAGAATAACACAGTATTACACACGCAAATATTACCCAGCCGCTTGAATCATTCTATATTCATTAAGTTCCGGTATAAGCACAATTATTTCAAATTCAAGCCTCTTTAAACTCTGCAGTAATAGGCATATTGAACAATTTTGCGTGACTAAAATTAAATGAGCAGCAAAAATAAAAGCTGTACGTTAAAAGCAGTAATTATGCAATCAAATGCAAGCCTCAACAATGCAACTAAAATTACATTACTCTCTATTACTCTCTATGCAAGCCTCTCAACAATGCAACCAAAATTATATATATAACCCGACTTCATGTTAAAGATTAATCATCTTAAAATGATGTAGAGAATGGCAACTCTTTAAACCAGTCACGCAGAGAAGTGATATAAAAACCTTGCATTAATTGCGTCTTTAATTTATGATATAATGGTGGAAATGTTCTAGTTTTTCTTTTTTCCTCAAAGAAAAGAGAAGGAAAAAAACAGATCCAAACACTACCCTATATAGTGACTTACGTTTTGATCAAAATATCTCCAGACACAAAATCATCCATGATTACAATTATGCTATGTTTGGATACATATGGATTTGTATTTGAGCCAAATCCATTGTTTGGATAATTAAAAATGTATGGATTTGGATCCAAATCCAAATTCTACCTCAATTTCTTTGTAATTTAAAATCCTTTCTAAACCCTTGTTATTTCAAATTCTAACCCAATCTCTTTTGTAATTTGACCCAAATCCATAAAGGCTTGATTGATTTGCCAATGGTAATTGGATCAAACTGCCAAAGTTGATAGAAACAAGCTGCCATCATTGACTAGGAGTAGACGACCAACTTTAACTGGGATCGGGTTGACGGCGACAACAGGGACTGAATAGCCTACTTTCATCGAGATCAAGCCAACGGCGACAATGGGGATCGGGCGGCCAACTTCCACCTGGACCAGACTAACAGCAACCATCAGGCCAAACAACTGACTTCGATCAAGACCAAACTAATGACAATGACGAGGACCTAATGACTGACTTCCACCAGGACCAGACTGATAATGACGACAAGGACCCGACAATCAACTTCCATCAAGTTGAATCTCAATGAATGTCGACCGTTCGGTTCTAGTAGAAGTCAGTTGTCCTATCCTTATTGTTGGGCATTATTGGTCTAATCCAAGCAGTCGCCGTCAGTATAGTCATAGTGAAAGTCGATCGTTAGATCCCGATCATCACTGTCAATCCAATTCCTGTGGAAGTCAACCATCCGGTCTAGGTAGAAGGTGGCTATATGGTCCCCCTTGTAGTCATTGGTCCAATCCCAGTGAAAGTCGACAATTCAGTCCCTATGGTTGCCATCGGTTCGATCCCGATGGAAGGCGGCCGTGCTATCCGCATCATCGCCATCAATCCGATCTGGTGGAAGTCAACCAACCCATCTCATTCATCGCTAGTGCTACAATCCCAATCAACTTTTACTGTCTGATCTCGGTGGAAGTTGGTTATTTAGACTATCGACTTTAACCAGTCTTCCAAGTTTATTTGAAATTTAAGTACAGAATTTAAAATTTCAAATTTTACTTTAAATTTAAATATCATCCAAACAAAGAATTTAGAATCTTTGAATTTTAAATGTGAGATTTCAAATATGAGATTTTAAATTCGAATTTTCCACTTAAGTCCGCCCATCCAAATACAAGCTTAAGGGATTTAAGATGAGTAAAAGGGATAACAATAAAGAGTTTCCTTAATCTCTGAGTTTCCAGTGTTTCTAATCAACTTAATCATGGTAATTTTCAAAGCTTGTCTGCAGAAATGAAGAGTACCGTATCCAAGAACAAAAGCTTCATAATTCAGTGTATTGAATCGGGCTATTATAAATCTTGGACGGAAAAATTAATAGATCTCCTATATATAATTCAACAGGGCGTTTTAACTTTAACTTTGATATCATCAACAAAAACTTGGGATAATTTTCCAAATCTCACAAAGTAGTTTCAGAATTTTGCTTCCCTTTTTAAATATTTTGAACTTCACTCACTTTTACAACCGGGGTAGATTTCATCCTAAGCAAGTTTTAGTACGTATGCATGCGTGGGCATGACAAATGTCTCAACTACACATGCAAATATAGAAATTTAAAGTTCACACATATGCTATGATGTCAGAGATTACTATATCAATGCGTTGAGTATAATGCCATTATTATATCTAAATGAACATCCAGAAAGAGCCTTCTCTTCTGAAAACTAATCATATTTGTGAATCAGATATTACCCTAAGCACCATCTTTTTCTCAAGCAAGCTGAACACTAAACGTTTCTTTTTCTAAAATAGTCAAAACGCCTCATTCAAAATAAAGCATCCTTTTGTCCAGTGGCTTTCATACTTGCATCACTCTATAATATGTGACAACTAAGATACATACAGACAGGCATGTTGGACATGAATTAACTATAGCATACATGACACCACGTTGGCATGACCTTTGCGGTTAGATATCAAAACAATAAAAGAATAGTTTTTAAAGTCACTTTCCTCTGTTATGATGAAAGAGAGAGACATACATTTATATTGGATTATGCCAGAACCTTAGGTTCAGAGTTTTGAAAATATATTTCTCAAATCTGTGTTATTCATAGAGTCAAGGTTACAATTAATCAACAGAACTGAATAGGGAGGGTTCTCATAACAAGCAAGTCAGCCAAGATGATGACGATGATTATAAAAATTTCTAAAAAGAAAGAGCTACAAATTAAATCCATCATGAGGATTGCAAACAGTGTTTTACAGAAATAAACGCTGATGAGATTCTCTAGCAAGCACGTTCGTAGTCAATCTCCTGTTAGTCTAGATTAATGAGCCTAAAATAAATTAAAATAATAAGCACAAGTACACGATCTGCGAATGTTCAGATACGTATGAAAATTAAACAAATAGTTACCTGGAAAAAAGCATTCAACTGTACATCATTAAGGTGAGGAAAAGGAAACTAAAAGAAGAGAGGAGAGACCTTGAGCTACCATATTCAAAGAGCTTGCCAGTAGCAGAAAAGACTATGAGAGCAATCTCAGCATCACAGAGAGTAGCAAGTTCATTAGCCTTCTTGAATAGCCCTCTTCTTCTCTTCGAAAACGTTACTTGCCTTGCTGTTATGTTGTCGATCTTCTTTATTTCTATCTTCTGCCTTGTCATTTCCTGATTAAGCAAAAATAGACCCAAAAATCAGGAAAAGAATTCAGACTCTCCAGGAAAAATAAAAAATTACTAAATATTTTGTGACAAAAAAAGGAATATTAGTGTCCAATCAGTAAAAGGAAATGCAGTGGATCATAACTCTCTCCCAAATAGAAGTAGAAAATCAATATCTCAGATCCATTAAGCAATACAGAAAACTAATCTTAGAAAAGAACTGAGGAGAAACCTTGAAGAACACAGAGGACTTTCAATCAGAAAGAGCTGATGAATCTTACTGTGAAACACCAAAGAGTTCAGAACTAAACAAGAAGAAAAAGAATATGAATATTACAGGAAAAGAAAATTAAAGGAGGAAATTAGTTGTCTAAAAGAGGAAATGCAAGATTGCAAGAAAAAGGATGATGCTTACCAGCTTAGGTAAGGGTGTGATGAAGATAAACCCCACCTACAAGTTGTCCATAAGCGAACAAACACAGAGAGAGAGAGAGAGAGAGAGAGAGAGAGAGAGAGGAGGCGTGTGGACATATGTTGTGGGAGGGGAAGGAAACGAACTTTTTAGTGAAAGAAGGATAATTACTCATTATGGAGGGGGCAACTTTTTTGGTTTTATTTCCTTTTGCGGCTTTTGGACTTGATGGTGAGATAGTGGAAGGCGCAATACACCCCACGCAACAGTGCAAACACCATCCAATGAATTGCGCAGAGATGTCAAGCTTAACTTAAGAGTGTTTATACGGTCGATTTAGTTTAATTTTGAGTAAAAAAACAAATTAATTGATTCACTATAGTTTGAAACCTATTTAATTTTTTTATTTAATTAGTTTGTTTTGATTTTTGATCTAGTTGCTGGTTTGGTTTTATTTAGATTTAGATTAAACTTAAACCTTTTATAAAATATTTTTCATAATTATCAATATATATTCATGTTCATAAATAATTGTTAACTACTAATTACTATTTGCAATAAAAAAACTACTCAACGCAAAATAATTTTTTAACAATTAATTAGCATATTTAACAATTAAAAATTAATATATTATCTTTAAAATACTTGGTTATAAAATTAAAAATTATCAAAAATAATTGTAGAAAACATTTAGCTAATTGCAACATATTTTTACTAATGATTTAGAAATAATAACACTTGAGAAAGGAAAAAAAAACTTTGGCAAATTTATTAAAGTATATATAATAAATATAATAAGAATTAGTTTGATTTAGTTTAAGTTTTTTAAAAATAAAAAACTAATTCAATTGATTTTGCCAAAAGGAAAATCAAAGCAAACCTTGTTTATAATCAATTTTGATTGGTTCCTTTGATTTGGTTTAGTTTGATTTGATATAATTAGTTTAGATTAGTTTTAAACATTTTTATAGAAATTAACACTTTGAGACCAAATAAACATATGATATTAAAATTTTAAGATCACAAGATTTTAAAGGGCTAATGATGATTAAGTCTCAAGGACATGAATTAATGATCATTTAGTTTTTTTTTTGAAAAATAGTTACAGATATCAATTTAAGTAATTGTAAATTCAAGAGTTTAAATTGTAAATAAAACATATTTAAATTCTAAATATAACTATCAATTTTTAATTGTAACGAGTTAAATCAATATTTAAAATTCATTTTTAAGAAAAATTAGTGAAGAACCTATTCCCTCCGTTCAAAAATAAAGCATTTTTAACCGAATCTCACTTCTCAATGAAATAGTTATCTACTTTTAACTAATTCTATTTTTCATATTTATCCTTATTAAAAACCTTACAATAAATATAAAGTCATTATCAATAGAGGCACTTTTGGAAAAAAGACAATAGTTTCACTTCAAAAAACTAAAAATACTTTACATTTTTTAATATTCAACTCCTTAAAAAATACCTTAATTTTTAACCGAAGGGATAGCTATTATTAATTTTTCTTTCAAGACTTTATTATTACTCTCCCTATTTTAAAGATAAAACTAAGAACCTCAATCCTTTATTGGTATTTAAAAAAGTCAAATGGTCCAAATGTTTTCTTCACGTCAAAGGAAAAAAATAGCAACAAGCTAAAGCTAAAGATGATGAGTAACTGATTTTGTTATATGCTTCATATTTTTACAACTTTGAATATGGAATAGCATTGTAATCGGTGTATCCAATCCTCTAGAACTTGTTGAGTCCTTAGAAAAGTGATGTTACCCCAAAGGATATATTTTTCTTCGTCATGAGTTTGCTACATCTTAATTTCCGTAAGAACTAATGAAAAGGAAAAGAAATTAAAGCATTAAATATATAAGGCCTATTTAAAACTATTTTTATTTTATTATTTTAAAAATTGATGTTTTGTAGAACATATTCTAAAAATAAAATAAATAATAAAAATACATGCTTTTCTCATTCTTCCTTATTTTTTAAAATAATAATGTCAAAACACTTAAAATATGTTCCTATTTTTCTATTCTTAAAACATTTTGAAAATACATTATCAAATAAATTGTTTCATTTTTTATTCTAGAAAACAGAAAACTATTTCTAAAACAAATTTCAAACAAGCATGATATTTTTAAGTAGCTAGTGCACTGAAATTTTTTAGCCTTAGTACATTTACAAATTAAATAATATGCATATAAAAGTCAAAAGACTTACAACTTACAAACAGAGAGACACATCTTTTGGCCAAAATGAGCCAAACTAGGCCTATGGGTCAAACTCGTTAAAGCTTTGACATGTCAGCAATTAATTTAGTTGATATCCAAAAAAAAAAATTTACTAAGTTTCTGCCCAAAAAAATTAAGTCTAAATTGTACCCCCCCCAAAAAATGAAGTCTAAATTACTTTGGTACTTTTGGGCAGACTTAGGTATTATAGGATGATTTTTTGCATCAATTGTTATTATTTTAAAAAAATTAAATTTAATATATCAACATTTGATAATGTTTTGTTAACATTCAAAAGTTTAATGCTAATGTTTTTCAATGAAACTATAGTGTTAGGTTAAAAAAACTAAAAAGATACTCATAAAAAATTAATGAACTAAAATAAAATCTTGTGCAAAATTAAATAACCAAGTGCATCCCTTTGCCTTGTATTTCTCAATATGTATGTAAATACTATAAAAGACATACTCCCTTTGGTCTTATATGCAAGTCATTTTTAAAAATTATTGATGATCCTTTTTATAAGTTACTTTTACATAAAAAAAGATAGATCAATGATTTGATGGACATAAATCGTTACATCACAACTGCATGAATCTTGATGTAATATATTAGTGTATCAAAGTCATTCCCATGAAAAATTAAACAAAATAATGATCAAGCCATAGAGTTCCCATTGTCTTTTACATTAAGTAAAAGAAATTGGATTTGATTGAGTAAAAATAAAAAAAGTGAATTTAATAAAATGTAATGAAATTCTTAATCCAACAAACCCCTAATGTAAAAAGCAACATAATAATATGGGATAATTATATATATATATATATATATATTAGACAAAAATTCAATCCCATGTTACCCAATTTAATGGTTTCAACAAGATTTTCCTTTATCAAGAAAAAATCCCAACATCTAAAATCATATTTAATGGTGACCAAGCATTAAATGAACATTCAAACACAAGATTGAGCAATCAAGAATCAACATTAAGCATAACCAATAGGTAAAAAAAAGTCTAATCCATGAATAAGTTCATAGCTCTTCTAGGTTTAAGGAGAATTAGCCACACATTGCTCCAAACATAACAAAAATCTGTAAAGCATACATCTAAGCAAAGAAGAGAAGGATAATAAAAGTTTAATTGGAGTGATTTTAGATGAAACCCACTAATCTCTCATGAAACCTAAATTTCACCTCATCCATGGCTTCTTTGCTCTCTCTTGGATGTTCCTTGGTTATTGGAGATGAAGAATGTCGAGCTCCAACCTTCAAAACTCTAAAAATGTTAGTTTTCAACAAAGTAGCGTGTTTCATTAAATGATGATTATGCTACGACACATTTATATTATGTTGTGGCATAAGACCATTTTGTTATTGTCCTTGGCTATTATGCTCTAGCATGCTGCAAAAAACATTGTGGCATAAATGGTCTTGGCTTTTTTGTATGACCAAAGAATCATGTTATGGTGCAATGCAAATATGCTATGGCATAAATTTCTTTCTTTCTTTTTCTTTACTTTATCTTCAATCTTTACTTATGGCTTTTGACTCCTAATTTGAACCGCCCTACGCACAATATAATATCATTATTGTAATTTTAGCTCAAGTAACTAATTCATTTCAATAGAATGCTATCAACTCTCCCTTCTCATCTTCAAAAGCATTTTTTTTAATATTGTCCTTATATGATAGTTTCATTTCCTTCAAAATACTTAAATGACTCTAAATTGATTCCAAAATTCTAAACAACATATAAAAATTTGGAGTCATCAGTTGTTTTCTTCTCATGAGTAAATAAAATATTACTACATATAAGAAAGAAAACATTTTAAAGAGGATGCATTTAATAATGATAAATATGAAATTTTCCAAACAATATCAATATTTAATTTAACTACATCTTCTTAGTTTCAGTGATGTAATTAGAAGTAACTCATATGTAAGATGAAGGGAATATACTATAAACTGATGGGTGTTAAAGATGGAGAAATGGCAGTTTTCAATCAAAGTTTCAAAAGATTAAATTAATAACATTTGATTTTTGATAAATTTTTCTTAAAAATTGAAAATATCAAATAGAGATATATAAAAAAACAATCCGTAACAATTTGAGAGTTGTATTTATAATTTAAATATTTTATTTATAATTATAATTTTAAATTATTATTTTTAGCTCATCTATCACAAAATTTGGTGAGAGCCCTACTCTATTTCATTGATTATTAATTAAATTTTGAAGACCTAACTTTTTTTTTGGGACGATTTTATTTAAAATACAGTTAAATATTTAAATATAAATATTTTTTTTAATGAGAATTAAATCTTGTTTCATTATATTAAACTAGTTTCTTTCACTAAAATTAATGGTTAGGTTTCAAACTAACTTCTTTTTCTTCTTAGATTAGGTGGAGATGGGAATTGTATTGGTAATTAACAAATTTATTAAAATTTTTAAATTTTTTATTTTTTATTTTAATACATATAATATTAAAAATATTAAAAATTAATTTAATGAAGAGTAGAAATTATTTAAGCTGAAATGGAGAGCTTGGAGATGAGCACGCATGGAGATGGCAGTTGATGGAAGTTGTATCAGACCATTTATGGTGATGATGCGGACTTTGCATAGCGTGACCGCACGGAAACTCAC